AAAATTAATAATAATGCTCTATGGTCTCAGCCGCAAGTCCTCCAGACTATGGCCCAACCATATAATTATACCACGAAGCAAATTGAACCCGATACCACCAGGATGCATAAGCTATGTCTCCGACCTATGCCAGGATCCGATGATGAAGATGGTGATACTGCCAGTGGTCTATTGCAGAACATCTTGGAGCGGGTCTCCAATGGAGACTCTTGTCAAAAAAATAAATGACACAACCGATGTCAATAGTCCCCATAACTATTTAGAATTGTACTTGCTGACAAAGTGCAGGGATTCAAGACTCTGGCATCATTGTCTGCAGTAGGGCATCCTGAGGCTGAGACAGTCGGATCTGCTATGCACAATGCCCGGGCAAGCTTCGAGGAAGGGTTTTGGAGTGTTATATATGCTAACTCGATTGAAGCTTGACTGGCATTGATTGGTTCGGGGAACTCGAATGCATTTGTGCAGGAGTCTGGCAGGAACTTCAAGGGCAAGATTATGTCTGGATTAATGAAATTCAAACCTGGCAACGATGCGCGGGACTTCTTCAGGAAAGTCAAGCTGCCTCTTGAACCCTGGCTGGAGACATATGGGTTAATTATATTTAATTATGAATTTTAGGGTTTAGGGTTTAGGGCTTTTGTTTTACATTTGTTGTATGTCGGAACATATGGCTTTAAGTTATGATCATCAAGGTACAATTCGCAAAATTATAAGTGATACCTACTGTAGCCTATAGGCCTAGGATCGGCTAGGAGACAATAAGCCCAAGGTACCAACGGAAGTTCCGGTGACGATTTACCAAGGGTTTGAAGGAGACCGGACGAAAGTCCAAACGACAATCCCTGTGCTAGACCCACACGAGGTTTTGGATTATTTACAGACTGAGCTGAAGCTTGAGTGTCCCCGAGACAAAGCATGTGCATACTGGAAGCACCTGCGAGATCATGGCAACCCCTTCGCACTGGCTTTTGCGGGATCTGATAGCCATGTGCCGTTTACGATTTATGGGGATGAACTTACGCTGGGTAAAGATCCGAAGGACAAAGTAACAGGCATTTTTTTGCAGTTAACTTTGTTTAAGCCAAAGGCTGCCCGTCAGGGCATGTGGCTCCTCTGTGCGATTCAGGATGCTTGCATGCTCCACGAGAACATGGAGACTTTAAGCCCGATCCTTCAACATATCGTCTGGAGTTGCAACCAAGCTTTTGCAGGGCGGTATCCTCATGTGTCATCAGATGGATCTCCCTTGCAAGGATTGAAAGCTCAGAAGGCGGGCCAAGAGTTTTATAATTCTGCTCGTTGGGCGTGTGCTGAATTACGTGGTGACTGGAAGTGGCATGAGCGCACACTGAGATTATTGAGGACCCCTACTTCGAGGAGGTGTTGCTTCCTCTGTCCTGGTGAGGCATCCGATGGTCCTCTAAGATACTACGATATATCACCCACTGCTGCCTGGAGAGCTGCACAGGCAGACACAACTGTTTTTCTCCGGGATGCTATTCGGCCTGGGCCTGTGAGTGTCGTGGCATTCGATTTATTTGTCGAATCTTGGAAGTTACCCTTACCCTAGCCTTTAATTTGAAATCGCTTCAAGCCCAAACCACAGCTCGTAGTAATAAACAGTCAATAATCTATGTAGGGTTTAGGGTTTAGTGAAGCTGGTAGTCAGGGGCCCGACTAGGGTGTAGGGTTCTTCAACCACCAAAACTTCCTGCTAGCATGAATCGAAGGCCTAAACCCCTAACCCCTAAACCCTAAACCCCTAAACCCCTATGATATAATATGGAATTCCCCAAAGGCCCTCTGACTGGTCTGACGAGCTTCGATGTCTCCATGGTGAAATTCTGCAGCATGCACGTCTGCAATTTGGGCCTGGTTCACACAGCCAGTGGTGGTGCACTGTGCCCAAGCGCGACATCGATATGTATATTCATCTTCTAAAACAACCGAGTATTATAAATAGCTAATAATAGAGTGTGTGATTTTTTTGTCGCTGTAGATTGTCAGATCACCTTCGCTACGCATCCAAGGGAAGCTCTTCTACGTGAGGGCCATTTCGGGCCTTACAATGGACGTGAGTCCATGAAAGCATTGCTCGAGACTGCATATACGGAGTTCCAGCAATGGCGCAAGGCCAACAAGATTGCTTGCTCCCAGAGATCCTTTGCACCACGCCATCTGCTGAAGCAGGTTCATGGATACTACTTGACAACGAAGGCTTATAATGGCAGGATCGTTATGCAGTGGTTATCCAGCAAATTGCAAGATGTTGCCCAGCATGCAGCTGCGACTCCGAGCATTCGCTTGCATGCCACAGCTCTGCAGCTCTGCTGTTCTGTTACTACCCAAACCCTGAAAAGGAATGTGGCACCCTATCCTCGCAGCTCTTTTTTTTGCCCAAACCCTGAAAAGGAATGTGGCACCCTATCCTTGCAGCAATTTTTGTTGTACCCAAACCCTGAAAAGGAATGTGGCACCCTTTCGCAGGAATGTGTGTAGGAATAACAATCAATTGTAATTCCGGCTTTAGAACTTCAATTCAAGAGAGCCCTGCCAAATAGCCTCGTTAATTATCGACTTTATACAGTCTAGCCTGGGAGCTGAGGACTGCCTTTTCGAAGTGGTTCAGCAGTGCCGAAGCGGCCAAGCGCTACTTGCAGCTGGCCATGGCATACATGATCATAGGGTTTAGGGTTTAGGGGTTTATAATTAATTGTTTGGTTTTGTGATATTGTCGGCACGATCATTCCTCTGCTGAGGACGCCAGCCCAGAGTGAAGAAATCTATGCACATGGAATGTTGTTTCTGAAATGCCATCTGCGATTGACTCAAGCTTCGCATCAGTTCCCCGGCTACATAAATTAATCTAAATAACACACTATATATATATATATGTATGATCACGTATATATATATGGGTTTAGGGGCAGTTTAGGGTAATCGGGTTTAAGAACCTGCCCCAAAAACCCTAAAGCATTCGACTGAGGCAGAAGATCCTGCCATGGGTGCTGAAACCAAAGTTTCATGCACCTTGACTTGGCTCGAACTGGCTGATAGATATAATTTCCCTATTTAAAATATTTGGGCAAATAGCTATAGCTCTATTTATTATAACTATTTGGGCAACTAGCTAGCTATAGCGAGGCTATGCTGCACCTGCTGGAGCAAAGCCGGAAGTGGCGATTCCTGCTTCGAACTCTGAACATTTTTTGGTTCATATTATTATTATAATTCTCTAAATTACATTAGTAGGAAAGCATATATTGGACTGTGAGGCTACAACACGCGCTACACCCATTGCTTTGCTGGCGAGGATGCAATGGGATGGCTCAAGAGTACCTGAGTCACTTTTTAACATTTTTGGAAATCCAAGGATAGTTTTCCTTATTTCAAATTGAATCTTGTCATGAGCATCATACAGAGATTCATGTCATCAGGAGTCAGTCTGAAAGCTCCACGAAAGCCTGGAAAATTCAACCACTGGGTGCTGCGAATGGGGATGCTCAAGATGGTGGCGGCAAAGCGCCGCCTCACATGGATGCTCAGCTGCGATATATACAAAAGAAAGTTTCGAGATATCTAGGTTTTAGAGCTGTGGGGTTTAGGGGTGTAGGCTTATTATCTAGGGCCAAGGGCGTCGGGTTGGTGTTTCAGGGGACTCTGATCTTGGAAGACCTAGAGTGTTCCTGCCTCTCGGTGGCAAAATCATGTATATACAATAGAAGCCTCAACAATAATTCTACAACAATATATACTTCTTATGCCACTCCTCTTTTTAAGCCTGGCAGCAAAACCCAAACCCAGAATAATAAACACTTTGAAAGCCAAAGCCTGAAAACTCAGCAGCGATAAGCCCAGGAAAGCACGCCAAAAAGGCTGGAACAGATGAGTTATGCGTTGGATGATGATGCACATGAACCGCTTCTTGGCAACAATTCAGTCTGGGTCTTTGAAAAATTAGGCAGGGAAGCAAACTTGTATACAGTTTTACTT